GCAATATGAAAAAAAATGCTCTAAATCAATATCAATTAGAGAAATGCAAAATAAAACAACTCTGAGGCACCACCTCACACCTATCAGGTTGGCTAATATGACAGAAAAGGAAAATAATAGATGTTGGAGATGTGGGAAAGTTGGGACACTAATGCATCGTGGGTGGAATTGTGAACGGATCTAACCATTCTGGAGAGCAATTTGGAACTATGCCCGAAGGGCAATCAATCTAGCAATACCACTTCTAGGGCTATATCCGAAAGAGATCATAAAAAAGGGAAAAGGACCTACATTACAAAAATATTTATGGTAGCTCTTTTTTGTAGTAGCAAAGAATTGGAAATTGCAGGGATGCCCATCAATTGGGGAATAGCTGAATAAGCTGTGGCATATGAATGTAATGGAATACTATTGTGCTATACAAAATGATGAGCAGTTGGATTTCAGAAAAAAAACTGGAAAGACTTACATGAACTGATGCTGAGTGAAGTGAGCAGAACCAGGAGAACATTGTACACAGTAACAGCAATATTATATGATAATCAGCTATGATTGCTTCTCAGCAACACAATGATCCAAGACAATTCCAAAAGACTCATGATAGAAAATGTTATCCACATCCAGAGAAAGAACTATGGAGTCTGAATGCAGATGGAAGAGTACTATTTTCACTTTTCTTTGTTTTGTTTTGGTTTTTTTGCGGCTTTCTCCTTTTGTTCTGTTTCTTCTTTCACAACATGACTAATGTGGAAGTATGTTTACATGATTGCACATGTATAATCTATATCAGATTGCTGTCTTGGGGAGGGGGAGGGGAGAAGGGAGGGAGGAAGAAAAAAATTTGAAATTCAAAATCTTATTAAAAATGAATGTTGAAAACTATCTTTACATATAATTGGAATAAAAAATACTATTTACAAAAAAAAATTAGCACTCCTCAGAAGAGGCATTAGGTTTGTTCTGCTTAACCCTGGGGACAGAACTAATAACAAGTCAAGACTTGTTGGTTTGATATATAATGAAAAAAATTCCTAACAATTCTGTTACAAGGTAGAATGGACTGACATCATTGAAGATCTTGAAACAGAGGCTATATGGGACTATTTGTCAGGGGTTTGTAGAGGACATCAGGCATGGCCTCTAAGATGCCATCCAGTTCTGAGATTTGAAGACTTGGATTCTGGTTTGGAAGCTAAGCCACGTTCTAGTCCTCTCCCATGGAACGTCAGAAACTCTCAGGGCCTGGGATGTGTGAATCACAGAATGAATCAAAAGTCCTCATCCCTAAATAAAACAACACTGTAAGATACACGGGGGAGGGGGGAGGGAAGGGGTGGAGGCAGAGGGGAGCTTGTGTAATTAATAAATGTGTATATGTACTTTTTTTTCTCACAAGTAGCTAAATGTGCGGTATTCCAGCCAGCCACAACCCAAGGATGTCACCTTCACCAGTCACCATGGTGCTGTGATGTAAACTGCCTGGAGTTTCCCATCCCCACCTCCCCCAGGTAGGACTATTTACACCCCTAGGAAGAACCAAGCATTCAAAGGCAGCAGTCCAAACTAGGTGCAGACCCAAACTGACATTTCCCCCGACAGGATTTGTGGGCTGTTGCCAGTCACCCTGTGCATGAAGCAACACTGCCACCTAGTGTCACACACAGGAAGTATTCCCAAAGGCCCTGCCTCTCTTGGGGTTCCCTTCTCCAGGGGCTAGTGAGACCCGGTGGGCAAGTAAAATATGCCATGTGTTCCAGAGAGTACTGGTTGTTGTGAGGGTACTTTGGGACTGAAGAGTGGAGGGCTGTGGAATAAAGCATTAGGAGTAATATGGTCTGCTCACCACTCTTTGCTTTAAGGCTGGCTTAGGACTGGATGGTGTTTCTCTAGCAGAACTCTGGATAGGGTAGGGTGAGAAGTGTATGGCAGGTTTTGTGGAAAGATAGTAAAGGAGTCAAGTATAAGCCTATATTGTCCATGGAGAAGGCTCGTAGTTTTCATGATTCTCCACCAAAAGAGCCATAGCTAAATGAGGCTCTATAGAGCAGAGAAAGCTGGAGTAGAAAGGAATCTGAGAGTGGGAAAGGGCCCTATTGACTGACTAGTTCTAGCTTGTCATCTAGATGAATCTAGGAGCAGCATCTAGTTGCTGACTTTATTTAGGTCGTACTGTTTTTAGCCCTCTTGGGAGCCTGGTTGGCAATGCCCAAGGGTAAATATCCAGCATCAGCTCCCACCTGTCCAATGGAATCCATACCATTGTTCTACATGTCAACTTTTTAAAAAATGTTTAATGAATAAGCCCATTAAACAGAATTAGATAGAAAGTGGGAAAATATGAGAATGGTTTTTGTTTCCTGTTGATGGGGGTTTTTTCTCTCCTTCCATCCTTTTAGGAAGAGGATAGGGAAGAGGAGAGACCTAAAATGGAAAGTCAGTTTGCCGCAGGGGCAGCTGGCCTTTTCCAGCTTGATCAGTTGAGGTAAGAAACCTCACAGGGTAACCTGCCTAATGATAAAAAGGGGAGAAGGGAATTTGTGGCCAATTTTGGACAACCAGCGGATTTAGAAACTTCAGATAAGTACTTTCAAGAAGGATCTGAAAGCCATGAGAAAATGGATTGGTGCCCAAGCCCATATACAACCAAATAGAAAAGGTGAGAGGACCAAAATCTCAGCTATCACTCCTCAAAGAGAATCTGAGAGGACACCTAAGGGCTGGTGGCAGGTAGCAAGGCATTGCCTTTCTCCAGGGCAAGGTATTAAAAATGTAGAGCAGCTCACATGTCTGTAGTGCTCCAAGGTTCCCAGAACACTTTCTAAGTGTGGTGGGCTCTGAGAGTTTCCTCTTTGTAATTTTTTTGGATTCCTCTCTGCTTTTACTCAGCCAGGGAATTGGTCCCAGGTCCCCTTTTCCTGCTACTGCAAGAGCAAAGTTACTGTTCTTGGGTCGAAGTGCAAGAGAGCAGTCTCTCTGGCAGAAGAGGAGGCAGTGAGAAGGGGAAAGCTGTAACACAGCCAGCCCTGATCAGAGAATCATCTTACTGTATTATTTCATTGTCTTGGCACCAGAAGAAGGATTCCCCCTCTTTCCCCCCACCTTCCCCAACCTCCAGCCCATCCTGCCTTCCCTCCCCAACATCCAAAAAGGAAAGGAGCAGAGAGGGAAGAATAAAAATTATATTGGTCATCTTCTGAAAATCCCACTCCCCAATGCTGCCATTGCAATCAAAACAGGAGAGGGAGAAGAGGAATAGCAGCAGGAATGAGTGTCCTAGCATTTACCTAGGTGATCGAGAAAGTCTAGCTCAACTCCCCTTTCCTGCAGATTGCAAACTTGTCCTTGACATTACAGCTCCCCCCAACTATAGAAGAAGCTATGGCCCTTTAAGTAGTTGCCTGTCCAAATAGTTCATTGGTTTGGGGGTTCCGTTCTCAATCTGTCTTCTGACTCACTCAGTGAGCTTGGACAAGCACTCACACTTCTTAGAACTAGAGAAATATTGAATGTTATAGGACTGAGTAGTAGAGTGGAAAGGACACTAGTGGGATTTGAAGTCAAGAGATCTGCATTCAAATCCCAGCTATGCTACTCACTAGCTTTGTGACACTGGGCAAGTTACTTAACTTCTCTGGGCCTCAGTTTCCTCATCTTTAAAATGGGTCTGCACTTCTGCGATTCTTTCTGGCTCTGAATTTCATGAATTGATCATCTAGTTCAACTCTCTCATCTTATACTGAAGGAAACTGAAGCCAAGACTAAGGTCACACAGCTAATACATTTTGTTGCCTCAGTTTTCCCATCTGTGACACAGTAATACCTAATCCTTCCTTCCTGATTCAGAGACCTCCCTATTGCAAAGTGTCACTAGTTCAGATCATCAAGTATTTATTGTCTACCATGCAGCCAGGATCATTCTGAGGATTATGGTCCTATTTTTTTTTAGTTATAAAATAGAAAGTGGTAAAGCATCAAGCTAATTTTTCATTCAAAGTACTCTAGATGCCCTTCCTCCCACTCACCTATTTAGCAGGTAGTATTTGTAAAATGTGGAGCTATGCATATATTTCCCACACCCCACATATAGAACCTCATTTTACAACTGGGAGGAATGGGAGGATAGGATCCCACCCATTTGACAGAAGAAGAAACTGATACTCAGACAAGTTTGCTTAAAGTCACACAGTTAGTGGTAGAGACAAGACTAGGATCCAGTTAACTTATTCCAGGTGTGTGCTCTTTTCACTCAGGTCTGCTGTCTGTACTCTAGTCACATTGTGCTTGGGAGGTGAAGAAGGTTTCCCTGAATCTGGGGACAGATACTTCCTCTGCCAAGGTCCATTGGTCCATCTCCAATATCCCTGCCATGCCCTGGGTGCAGCTCCTGGGTGCAGAGAAGTTCCTATAGTCCCTCTGTCTTTGAAGGCTGTCAGCTCCCCACCCCATCTCTTATCAGTCTTGCCACCAGGAGCCAAAGAATGTCCTATCTCTCTAGAAAAAGACAAGAGAATTTAGTGAAAAAGTCTGGTATGGGAAAGGAACTTTTAGAAAAGAATTGGGGAAACCCAATGGATTAAAGCAAGTACAGCTGTATCACTGCCATAGAGATCGTTAGATATGTGGTTCATCTTGTGTAAAAAGAATAAAAACCCTCCCCACCTACCTACCTCCAACCTCCATTCTTAGCTTTTGTTGTATTTTATCTCCCTCTCCTCTCCCCTGACCATTCCTCCAGCTACATAGGATTTGGAGTTGGAATCAACCTTAGAAATCATCTAGTCCATTTCCCTCATTTTATATATCAGGAAACTGAGGCCCAGAGATGGCTAAGTGACTTTCTCAGGGTCATATAGCTCTTAAGCCAGGATTTGCACCCAGGTCCCCTGACTCCAAAACCAGCTTTCTTTGCACTCTCCCACCTTGTTCAATCAGCACCTGAGCAGGGCAAGTGCCCAGTTAGCCGAGGTCTTAGAACCGTGGAAAAGCAGAGGGTCTCTTACCTGCTATAATGGCTGGGTTGTTCTGCCCTCCCTCTGGTCTTACCCAGGCTTCAATCGTGAATGCTTCCCGGGGAGTCTCAACCATCACCTCTGGGCGAACCAATAGCTGTTCCCGCCTCCCAGAGAAGTACAGGATAGGCATCCCTTCTTGGGAGTTAAAGGTTGCTCCTCCCCAGCTGGGGTTTTCCCCCAAGTTCTCTGCATTGTTGTCCTGTGCCTGTCTCCGATGTCTGACCCTCACTTCCCCCTTTCTTTGGGATTGTGGTTCTGGTCCTTGTGGGTGTGAGGGGGCTTCAGTGCCGACAGCAGCTCCTTCTGCAGTCCCAGACTCACTCAGAGACTCCAAGAAGCCTTGACCCCCAAAGTGAATGTCATCAGATTGCTCACTAGGATTGTCCCCCATCTGTGGGGCAAGAATGCCCCGACCTCGACTCCTGCTCAGTAGTGTGGGTATACTCCTTGCTCGACTTTGAGTTTCATCTCGATGAAAATTATCTGTAACCCTTGCCTCAGTGCCAGGCTTACTATTTCCTACAGAGGGGCTTCTCGGTTTCCTGATGGGGTAGGGATGCAAGTAGTCCACTCTTCTGCTAGGGTAAACCCCAAAGAGATGATGCAGGGGAGCAGTTCGGGGTCTTCGGGCCCTAGTCCCCAGCCTGCAAGGTTCTCCTTCTGCTGACACCTGGTTCAGCTGCCCCCTGAGGACCAAGGACTGCTTATGTTCCCAGCCCAGGTCCCAGTCTGCCACGCTGAACACTCCACCAGTCAGAACCACAACTGTCATTCCCAGGACCGTTAAGCCCAGCATACCTCCCCTGGCTCATCCACAGAACTGCAAGCTAATATAGGGGGAGGAGGTGTCACACCAGAATAGGGATGGGGAGTGAGACAGCTAATGAAAGCACTGTAGTCACTTGAATTGGGACAGCTGCTCTTTCAGGACATGAAACTTCCACCAAGGCTCTCCTTCGTCCTAACCTGCAGCCTGATGCTTCCTTCACCTTCCAATTTGGCTTTCTGCCCCCCACCCCCACCCCCCACCCACTGTGTGTGATCTTCCACACTCTTTCTCCTTAATCTTCCTCCTCTTTCCCTCCTCCAGTCCTTACAGAATGAAGCTAATTTCTCTCTGGTTCCTTTGAATTTCCTGCTCAGGGAAAAAAGCTCAGGTTTCTTTCTTTCGACCGCACCTCTTCTCAATGCTGCTAGATGAGGGAAGCATGGGCATTTTCTTCTGAGCCAAATTCTCTCAGACACACATTTACAGACACACAGACACACATATCACTCCCTACCTGGGCTCCTTTTACAAACTTTTCTCCCTTCAACTCATCTCTCTTCTCTTTTCCTTACAAAGTTATCCTGTATTTTGCACACGCACACACACACACACACACACACACCACCCTCCCTACTATAAAGTAAAATTGCTAGAAGGACTTATAGGTACACACACACACACACAGAGCTATAATGCTTGCTCTCTAAACATACACAAAGAGTCTAGAAACACAAAATTCAGACTAGTACTTAACTTTCACTATGCCAGCTTGTCCTTTCTCAATCAGATCTCCAATCAGCTCCCAGGTTGCCTTTTCCCTTCAGTTGGGTGCTTGGGGGTGTTTGTTGTTATTTTTGTCCCCTTCCAACTTGTTGGTCTGTTGATAGCTTGGTTAAAGTTCTCCTTTCAAGTGCCAGTCTGATGTTAGGAATCACCTTATTGGTTTAAAAGCTCTGTGGTTCACTTCATCTTCTTATGGGCTCCTGGAAAGATGGGGGTAAAAGATAAAAAGAGAAGAGAAGGATGCATTTCAGGGAACCTGCTCTGTCCTGGTCTCTCTTTTCCTCTTCCTTTCTTTCTGCCTGTAATTATCTTCTTGTTTGTTTCATTTAAAGACAATGATGTCAAAGCTAATAAGTTCAGTGCATCACTCCACCTACTCTCTGTCCCCTCCTCCCTCCTGAAAATCTCCCCACCTCATACAGACACTGGGGAGAAAGAGCCTAACCACATGCTCCTCTTGGTTCCCCCCAGGAAACATCTTGGGCTTTTTCCTTCAGCAGGCTCAGCCTACACAATCAATATCAAACAATCAATAGTGTTTGGGAACTCTTCTCTCTCTCTCTCTCCCCTTCTCTCTCTCTCTCTCTCTCTCTCTCTCTCTCTCTCTCTCACACACACACACGCACACACACACACACACACCTGATCTCCTAGCTGTTGCATGTAAGTCCACACTAGTCAGCTTGGAACCATTTATATCCCTGTTAATCTCATCATTAATACGTCAAGAACCTCTTGTATCTATCATTACTATCTAAGCTTATTATGTTTCTTTCTCATTGCAGTGATTACCAGGGACTCGAAAGGGACCCTGAGTCCATTTTACAGTGGACACTAAGGAAAAGGAAGTATATATATATACACACACACACATATATATTTTGTAGGTATATGTATATGTACATATATGTATACACATATATATTTGTGTAGGTGTATATATACATATATACACATATACATATATACACATACATACATATATGTATGCATGTATATATGAAATAAGTGAGAAATTTTATATAAATCTCAACTGCATTCATTCTCCTTCTGTCTCTCTCTCTCTCTCTCCCTCTCTCATTATCTAAATCTGAAATTACTGAAAGGCACCATATGCCAAGTGAGCAGATCAACAAATAAAATTTAAAAATACAGAAATCCGATAGCTCATAAATAGGACAGGTGAAATGATGGACATATAGACCCAAAGGAAAAAAAAAATAAGTCACATGAATACAACAGTGGAGCACACAACATACTCCCACCCCACCCCCAAAAATGCCTAATCAGTTATATTGTTAAACTGATCTCAGGCAATATCTCACTATGCCTATTATATTCCCCACTGACATACAAGACAGATATACTGGTTCTGAATGATCAACTACTGTGAAGATGTTTGAAAACAGGTAGAAAACTGCATTGGGTGCATGGCTTTGCAAAGAGAAAAATCCCTCAACCATTTAAAATCTTTGCCTGTGTTTCACTCACACACACACACACACAAACACACTTTAAAGTAGAGCCATCTTCTTTCTTGTGTTTTGGGCCCTCCCACCCTCTCTCATTCTCCTGAACCCCTATCTTAAAACTGTGATTTCATTTGTCTATGAACATGTTCTGCACTGAGCTCCCTCCTCTTTCACATGTCCTGTTTCCCTGAGCAGCCAGCCAGCCACAGAACACTCAAAACCAAGTTCCCAGAGTGCATATCAATCCAAGCACAAGGTGACTACAGAAGAGATCTTCAACATCCTATTCTTTTGTCTTTTATGTATTACCACCTCTCCTCCCCCATACCCATGCTACAATCAGCTTTCTTGCTGAAACTTCTTAGTAATAAAAATTGTTGTTGTATGAAGGAAAAAAAGAGAAAGGGAAGGAAGGAAGGAAGGAAGGAAGGAAGGAAGGAAGGAAGGAAGGAAG